GTACGCCCACTACGCCGGCGGTGGGGACAGCTACAGCTACCCCTCAGGGTACGAAGACAGCCCTTCATCGGACGCCGGCATCCACTACGTGTACTACCCTCCTGCCGGCGAAGATTCGTCATCCGAGCAGCAACGTCAGCCCCCCCCCGCGAGCAGCAGCACCACCGCTTCCTCCTCGCCCTCTACTCCTTCTCCGGTGCGCCTCCATCTTCGGGCTACCTCCACCTCTGCACGGCACAATCGGTGCCCATTGGCAAGTCTCACCCTGACGATTTTTTTAGTAGGATAGGAGTGACGATTGGAGTAGAATCTGCTGCGTCTGCTTCGTCTTTGCTGAGTGTGGAATCTAGTGAGGGGCCGCCTGGTAGCGAGAGATGGGTAGCTGACATAGGAGCCAGCAACAGTTTCACCAACAGCAGCCTACACATGTATGANAAACCAAGTGAGGGGTCGCCTGGTAGCGAAAGATGGGTAGCAGATTCTGGAGCAAGCAACAGCTTCACCAACAGCGACTTACACATGTACGACTTGCAGGAGATCCCCTCGAATAGGCAGTATGTCATTGTAGGAGATGGTCGTCTGCTGAAGGTGAAAGCAATCGGTAGCATCAACCTCAGCTATTTCCAGGAAGGTGATAACGGTGTGCCAACGACGATGAATGTGAAGCTGACTGACGTGTCTGTGGTAGAGGGTCTGAGTTTCAACTTGTTTTCGACGCATGCTGTTTCCCTTCGGCAACGAATNGTCTGTGGTAGAGAGCCTGAGTTTCAATTTGTTTTCGACGCATGCTGTTTCCCTTCGGCAACGAATTATCCATGACGAGCGTGGCGTGACCCTGCGTAACGGACCGCTGTTTGCAAGAGAGGAGAAAGCTTCTGCCGCCTATGCAATGCGCATGCCTTACGACCCGTCTGCGATTGTGGTAGACTCTGCTGCCTTGCCTGCCTTCGTGAGATCCCCCGTTACCACCCCCGCCGTTGGCTCCACGCGTTCCTCTTCCCAAAAAGGGGGCTCCGCGGAATCATTGGTGTCCGTATTGCGTGTTCCTTCCGCAGGCTCTGCTACCGTAGTACCTTCGAGTGAGAGCGTCCCGCCCACTGGTCCCACCAGTGTAGTACCTGCGAGTGAGAGCGTCCCGCCCGCCGGCTTTGCCGACGTAGTATCTTCCTCAGCGTCCGAGAGTGTGTGTGTAGGTACTTTTCCGGGTATGGATCTTGGAGATACGAGTGTGCTCACCGACGAGCAGCTCAAGGATGGCTATGATGACACCCCGTATCAAGAGTGTTTCCCCGTGTTTATCCCAGAGAGTGACGCTGCGAATGTGGCTGGTGTTTCAGATAGCATTGATGGAGGTGCTGATTTTGACTTAGGTGCGGCCGCGCTTGGCCCTAATGCATCCCCGTTTGCTCTTGGTTCGACTGAAAAGTCCGTTGACATCAACCGCTTCCACCGCTCCCTTGCCCACGCTTGCGAGCCTCTTTTGAGAGAAACTGCCCAGCAGAGAGGCATCGTGCTCACCGGCAAGCTGGAACCGTGCACGGACTGCATGAAGGCGAAGGGCAGGCGAGCGTCGGTGCCGCGGGGGCCGGGAGCGCGGGCGTCCAAGCCACTGGGTCGTGTTCACCTGGACCTGTGTGGACCGCTGGTGCCTTCCCTGTGCGGCAACCTCTACCTGTTCGTCGCCGTGGACAGCGCCTCGCGGTGGAACAAGGTGTACGGTCTCCGGCGGAAATCCGATGCGCTGGCGGCAACGAAAAGGCTGCTGGCGGACGTGGGGCGGTACGACCTCGGGCGCGTCGAGTGTTTCCGAGTCGATAACGGCACCGAGTGGACCCGCGGCGACTTCCGGCGCTTCTTCGACGACAACGGCGTCGAGTTCACACCTCCTGGCGTTCCACAGTACAACGGCGTCGTCGAGAGCGCCATCTGGCGCATCATGAAGGCCGGCATGGCCGCTCGCCGCAGCGCTG